TTTTTTTTGCAAAAGAAATTGAATTTGATTTCTGGTTTAAACTGTATGACTTTCTCAACCTTGAGTCCTTAACTTCCACTTTGCAAATCTTCATAACTACCATGTACTTAGGATGTGCCAGACTCATTGGCTGGGCAGAAGGGAGAGGGATTGGATTACAGAGATGACCAGCCCTTGGTGCTCATAGTAACCGAAAGAAGAGAAGGGGAAGAAAAGACATTAGCACAGGAGTTACCCTTACTTACTAGGACCTAAGGACACGAGGTCCATCCAGGTGGGTTAGTGTAGTGCACATATTGGAGAGGTGGTGCCTCTAAGTGGCATCCTTTCAGGGAAGTTTCTTGAAAAACAGGCAGATTTGACTAAAGGAGAAAGAAAGAAGGAATAGGGGCTGGGGATATAGCTCAATTGGTAGAGTGCTTGGCTTGCATGCACAAAGCCCTGGGTTCAATCCCCAGCACCACAAATAAATAAAAGAATAGAAGGGGAGACTGGAAAAGTAATTGGACCATTCCAGAAGACCTTATAGGCCAAACCTTTCTTGTGCATTCACTATGTAAAATGTTGGCTTGACCTTGCACATGTAGCTAGTGAGACGCTTAGGGAATTACCAACCAGGATTTTATCGCTATTGTGATTTTCTTTTAAAAGAAGGCTTACCAGAAGCATTTAACATGATTCTCCCCTCAAAGAGAGGCTGGAGGTTCCACAGCCCTTGGCTAAAGAATAAAATTCTGAGAAACTTCTGGTGATGAGTGCACAGCACAGACCACAGTTCTGCAGTTGTCTTCTGTGTGGAGAGTTGCATTGGACGGGTTTGCTTCCAAGTTTTGCAGCAAATACTTGGGTTACAAAATGTCAAAGCTGAGTAGCAGCTGTGATGGGCTGGACATCCGGCTCCTGGGGGAGGCCATGGGCCGAGGCATGTTAACAGGCACACCTGCGTGTAAGGTGTCAGCGTGGTGTGCCATTTCATTTGAAACCACACTTCGGTTCTCTGAGAGGGGAAAGCCATTAACTCATTATAAAGATGGGAGAACTGAAACCCAAAAGAGGGCCCAGGCCTGGCCCAGTGACCTGGGCAAGAATTGAAAGAACGTATCCTAGAAACCATATGGCAGCCTTCTCAATCGTTCATTTTTGCTACAGGGATCCAGGCTCTAAATGTGGTGATACTTGCTGCCGTTGAAACGCATGCTGTCCTGTTGAAGGTGCTAGCATCCTGCTCCCTCCCACATCTCCACCACCATAATTCTAGCTGGTGCACACCTAGGTTAGGCACAGGAGAGTGCCTTCCTTTCTGCGTCTGGCATTCCTGTGAGCTACACTACCTGCTACCAGAGCACAGTGGGACAGGACCACAAAGAAGGACCTATTGATCCTTTCCTGTGACCTTCCACTTTACCCAGTTCTGTCATGTTGTGCTGACATCAATTTTAATGAGGCTGATGATACAGCTGTGTTGACAGTTTAAAAAGGGAGTCGAGTTACTAGCAGACTTCAGCCAGCCAAACAGTTGTTCTCGGGGAAGCCACTAGGACCGCAGCGAGTGTGGAAGCTCTTCCCAGAGCCAGTTAGGCCAGCTCAGTGATCTTAATGGACTGGATGTTTTCTAACGTCCCACAGGTGTTGGGAAGACACGGAAGAGAATAGAAATCTGCCCTTACAGTTGTTCTGATTAAGTGGGACTTGAGGACCCCTGGCTAGGAGGAGTTGGGGTGTGTGTTGGTGACAGCACTGTCCTCACTCCAGCCCTAGGGAGCCAGAGTGCAGGTGTGATAGGGGTGGGGCCTCACATAGAATCCAGAGCCCTGTGTTCTAGCCACTGGGTGTATGGGATCTTCCCAAGCCTCTTCCTCTCTATGAGCCTCCGGTTACTCCACTGAAGGCGTGGGGCCCAATGTAAGTGAGCTTGCAGGCCATTTTAGCTGTCCAAGCCCCAGTGTACTACACCCAGAGGTTCTGTCAGCCACAGGGTGCCAGTCAGAACTTCCTCGGGCTTTTATTCCCAGGTACGCTCCCTTGGAGATGGTGAGGTGTGGTCTGGTGGGAAAGGTCTGATGTGCTCTGGGCTAATGGAGGAGAAAAGGCCCAGATGAGGACTGTGTCCCCAGCACTGTTCCTAGATGAGTGAGGTGTCTTCCAGCAATGGCAATAGGAGCATGAGCATGGTGCACATCTGCCACTAACTAGTTGAAGGAGGAGAAAGAGCAGATAACCACTTATTGAGAAAGATTCTCTTAGTCCTCAACTCCATAATAAACTAGCCTATCGCCATCCATCGAGCTGGCGACAATGCTGGGTTCACAAAATCTGACTATTCCAATGATTTAAGAAAACGGTGAAGAGTACCTTTTCAAAATCTGGGGAAGGCTCTGTGACCTTAGGGGTCCATGGAAAGACAGAGAGAGCCACTGGAATTCTTTATTCTTATATAGGGGACACACAAGTAGAGGTTCCATGGAACATTCTATCCCAAAAAGGGCAAAGGGGTAGGATTACAAAGGAACAGGTGGGTGTGATTCAACCCCATTGGGTGTCGCCCACTCCTGGAGCCACACTTTATCCGAGCGGGCGGAGGTAAGGCCCAGCGTATTGCGGAGTGCAACACCTGTTCAGCACTCCTTTACTCAGGACTTAAAAGTGTGCACATAGCTTCTGTCCAGAGTGGCTCCCAACACTAACCCTCTTTTAGAGATGTAGTAACTGAAGGGTGTAGAGTTCAGGTGCCTCATGCAAATCCTTGTAGAAGCTTCCTAGCACTCAGTAGTGGAATTCCAACCAGCTCTGCCTGAATCCCAAGCTGCTGCTGTTCTGTCTCTGTCATTGCGAGGGCCCCTGATTCCGGGCTGAGTTCTCATGAGGAAGTGGCCCATTTCTTTCTCCTCTGGGAGCAAAGTACACACCAGTTAACCAGACCTTGTTGGTTCCAAAGGTCCAGGAGGA